AGTCAGTCACCATCAGCACAGTGAGACAGACAGTCAGTCACCATCAGCACAGTGAGACAGACAGTCAGTCACCATCAGCACAGAGAGTCAGTCAGTCAGCATCAGAACACAGGCAGGCAGGCAGTCAGTCAGCATCAGCACCGCTATTTCAAAAAAATGATCAGGAAATGCAGTTATCAATCACTTTTACAAGCATTAACTAGCGAGAGACAGGAAGACAGACCTCCTCAATGAAGAGCCAGGGGTGGCAGAGACCACCTAGTATCGAGGGCTTCTTCAGACCATGCTGGAAGATGGCCTTCAGGGCTGGGCAGAGGGTCCCCCTGACGAGGTCAGTGACAGCCTCAGTCACAGAGTCATCCCCAGCCAGCGAGTACTGATGAGAACACAGACATGGCTCATAGTGTCACATCACCCCGAAACACAGATCTTCAAGAATCTCTCTCTGGGATCAATAAAGTTAATTTAATCTCACCTAACATCAGCCTACAGCGGATACGATCACTGTAAAATGATGATCGTTGTTTAACCTTGATTATGACACTCGCTATGGTCCTGCCAATAATCTACCTCCAGCTAACCCTACAGCAGGATGAGCCTTATCAGCATAGCACTCATTGAGTACTGAGTACTAAATACTGAATACCAGACAGGATAAGAGTGATGCTGGCTGTCAGCCACTGACATAAGCAGTAAAATTCATATTCACTTTTAGGTGTCCAACCCCCGGCTTCCCAACACATATTTTCTACTCTTTTTCCTTCTTCAACACATCCAATTACTTTTCAGAAATCTATTAAAAAATAAATTTATTCCATTCCGGGCATTCAGTATCCCGGGCTTGCTTTAATCCAGTTTCTAAGTGAGTGAACACAAAGAAAACGCCAATTAAAGGAAGCCTAGGAGGAAAGAAACATGAAAATTGCCTGGGGAAGATATCCGAAGGAGCCATGATGGATTTTTATTGGCCAATTAGATTCCCAGCATGCCTCATCATGCTGCATAGCCACCAGCGGCTACAGGCTATCACAGAAGGCTGCTCTTTCCCAGCTAATGCTACTTTAAGGGGAACCAGGCCCAGGAGGAAGACCTGATTTCTGCTTCCCAAGGACAGCATTCCCTTGCTGTAGCAGGGCCAACACCAAGGGCAGGATGTCCATAGCAGGTCCTTCACGGCGCATTTACACGCCCGTGATCTTTCTCCATATTCACTGACTCTGGCCACACAAGGTACCCAGCATCATAAAATGTAAAAATAGCAGAGCGGCAGGGTTTCGGTAATCAGCTTCAAGGATGCAGCCTGCCATTAATCTCCCACAGACATGCTGAGAAATTTGGGATTCCGCTAGCAGGGCTACTGGTTTCAGTTCATTTGAGACTACTGTGACTTGCATTTCCCCACAATGATGCAACACCGCAGTAAATTCACACACCTCTTTGCTCCGCTCATCGAGAACTTCAACGAACTTGGCCGGAAACCAACCTGAGGAAAACAAAATGAAACTGAATGAAACCAGGATGCTATCACCGCCCTCCCCAGCTGTTCAGAGAGTACTGGTCACTGTCACACCCAGATCAGTGGAACCAACCACTGGTACAGAGATACTATAATGGTGGTGGTGGTGGGGTCAGGTACCTCGGAGCCCATTGAGCTCGCCCACCCAGCAGTGCTCATCCTTCTGAGAGATTATCTGGGAGACAGAGAAGGAAAGGGGGAGAACACAAGGAAAAGCCAATTAGATGCATGCAGATTTGATTCATGAATGGATGTGCCATGCATGGAAAACAGCCTGAGGTGATTATTTTCGAATGACAGGTTGAATAAATGATTAATGACATGGAGGAACCTGAATACACACAGAGACCTGGCTACTTGGCGTTCTGGATTTAATGACATGGGGGAACCTGAACAGGCACAGAGGCCTGGCTACTTGTTCTGGATTTAATCCGAGTGTCACACACTGATATATCACACTTCATCAGGTCTAAGGTCTCACGTCACTCAGGACACCGGTGAGATATTGCTGCTTACCGTAATGATGTCATTTTTGCGGAAGCCCAGCTCATCGTCATCATGCCGCTCAAAGTCCAGCAGGGCCTTGGCACGTCGCCGCCTGTTACGCGATACCACAGCGAAATTCTCGTGGTCCCGCTGGTGACTCTCCATGGAGTAATCTGGGGTCAGGTCCTGAGACAGAGAGATGCTGAACGGTGCTGCCACGGCGCACGGCAGCAGGGGGTGCAGGCCAGAGGCGGGGTCAGTGGGTGAGGGGCGGGCACTCACGGCGCTGCAGTTGTGCGGGTCTAGGCAGTGGAAGTGCTCGGCTATACGGCCGATGGCCTCCCGCAGGGCGGCCACCAGCTCCGTCTGCTTGATATTCTTGGCCTTGAGCACTTCGGTCTCGTCCTCCCCAAAGAGCAGCGAGCTGAGCGTCGACTTTCTGCGCTGGCTTTGCCTGCGCACCACCTGCACACAGACACAGTGGCTATTAAATACAGACCACCCCCATGGGGAGGGGCATCGGCACCAGGCCACAGACACAGTGGCTATTAAATACAGACCACCCCCATGAAGGGGGAAGGGTGTCACCTGGCTACAGCGGTTCTTAAATACAGACCACCTTTCGTTAAATTCTCTTGACAGGAAGTTCACCCCTATATCAATTAATAGTTAATATGCACCACTGAAACTGGACAGTAACAGAATCACATAGACCACACTGGATACAGACACCAACACTCAGACAGGACAGCAATCCAACTTTTAATTCTGTCGTCCTGGACTATTCAAAATGTCAGTCCCGTTTCTTGTCTTAACTGCATGATAAAAGTTCACTTCCTGTCTAAACAGGAAGCCGAAGGGCTCGTCACTCACCTTGTTGAGGCTGCTAGTGAGGGCGTGCGAGTTGTTGGAGTTCAGCTGGGCCTGTTCAGCTAGGATATAGGCCAGGTGCTTGTGACGCTGGGCATCCAGGTTCTCCTGGGACAGGGCCCCCGCCAAGCGAATTGCCTCCCCAAGCACAGCCGTGCCATCTTCGATCTGGCTAGGCAGGTCTGACAGCGTGTTAAAGATGGAGGCGGAATTCTCTGAGGACACCAGCTCCCCCTCCTGGCAAGAGAGGGGTCAAGCACTGACACAGGCAGTGTGGCTGGGTGGAGACATCACTAGAAAACCCAAAGAACTTATCGAGCATGAACCAAGGCTAACAGCTAAAGACCTGAACATCTCTGCTAGTGTTATAGTTCAGCTTTGACTCTAAGATAAGAGAAGAGAGCAAGCTGACAGCACAAGTGCTCGGCACAAACCTTGATCTTCAGCATGCCCAGTGTGACCTGGAACAGCACGACTGAACCTTCGTAGAAGAGCAGGTCCCATATGCGCAGGAGGATGCGTATGTCCACCACGCTGGCGAAGGACGTGAGGAACCAGTGCAGCGTGATGAGGGACAGCTCTGCAGAGACATCAGAGGAACCCTTAGACCGTCACAGATACCAGCCACCACCAGACAGGTGGTCAAAGACCGACAGAGGGCAGAATCTACCGCAGGCTGTCAATCACAGCCCGGAATAACCAATGAAGTAACTGACAGGAAGTGTGTAAACACGCCCCTTGCGATTGACAGGCTGACAGAATCCCACCTTCTGCTGGCCTTGAAGTCATGTTCCTCCCACCAATCAACACTCTGTCACTTGCTAAGAGCAGCTCACAGTCCAGCCCCCCATGGCAAGCCGCCTGCCCCGAGTCTCACCAATGTCATGCTCCTGCAGGAGCCGGTCCAGGTGGGGCAGGTACTGCACGATCAGCTGTCTGAGCACACGCTGGTCCGTCTGCACGCCCAGCAGCGTGGAGGAGAAGTATGAGGGCGGCAGCAGGTCCTCAATCAGGGCGCACATCATCCACAGGGCATCCTCCTCCTCCAGGAAGAGCAGCAGGCATGAAGCCACCTGGGTGGGACAGAAGTAGCCAGGGACCAATCAGACGGCACGAGGAGCGGTCAGGCACCAATCGGATGGCGCGGGGAGCGGCCAGGCACCAATCAGACGGCACGAGGAGCGGCCAGGCACCAATCAGATGGCTTGGGGAGTGGCCAGGCACCAATCGGATGGCGCGGGGAGCGGCCAGGCACCAATCGGATGGCGCGGGGAGCGGCCAGGCACCAATCGGATGGCGCGGGGAGCGGCCACGCTCCAAACGCTCAAAGTCAATCAGTGACTGGAGTATTACTGTACTTTCTCCAAGTTATCTAGACTGATCTTCATACTGGGAAATAAGACTTCTGTGAGTGCTAACCTTAAGCAGAACTGGCTTGCGAGTGCTCACTAGAGCCCCCAACAGGGGAAGTGTGGCTGAACGCCCTCAGCAGGGGATCCCAGCAGCCTCAGTAGCAGACATGCCCTGCCTAAGGGAAACAGGGCTCCCCCGTTAATGCCGGCGACCTGACCGCCCCCGCAGACGCCACCCTGCCAGACGGCACTCACCATGCCGGTGCCCTGGCAGTAGCCGATATCCGGGTAGAGCCAGGCCAGGCCGCGCAGAACCCTCCGGAGCCGGGGCACGCCCACGCTGGTCAGGGTGCTGAAGCAGGCATTGGAGGGCATGGTGCGCAGCAGGTCTTTCTCTATCTGACACAGGGAGATGCCAAACCAGGGTCAGAGCACAATGTCAGCCAGTCACTGAGCAAAGACAGGGACAGGGGGGAAAGGGCATGGGAGAAAGCGGGCACCGGCATGCACCGGCATGCCCTGCCAGCCACCTGCTTGGCTGCAGTAGTGTCGTCATTGGAGCTGTTCTTGATGATCTCCCTGTAGGAGATCTCAGACGTCCTCTTCTTCTGAAGGGCCCCCGAGAGTCGCATCCACAGCTGGGGGGGGGGGGGGACAGCAGACATGAGGACATGGAGGCTGACCAAATGGAATTAGCACCAGCGTGCGGTTCGCCAACACGGAGCCTCTGGAGGAGGGGCACCCACCTGGGGCCTCATACTGTGGGGAATACCCCCCAGAACCAGCGCCCGCAGCCGGTCGGAGCGGGGCAGGCAGGGGGAGATCAGGTCCCAGGTCAGGTCACCCACTGTGTGGTTATGGGTGAACTCCAAGTGGGCCTGCCAGCGCAGCCTCTGCTGAGGGTCCTCGTGCTGGGGTGACCTGTCACCTCTGAGGGGGTCCTGGACTTCCACACCGTCTACAGGACAGAGAACAGCGAGATCCTGTATCACATAAACTCCTATGCAGAGGAGTAGCTCTGTGTTCATAGCAGATATACTCTATGCAGAATAGATCTACAGCGAGGAGCAACATTCTATTCACAGCAGATCTACAGTATATATTGGTGATGTTCCTAAAACAATGTTATAATTAACTTAGGGCACAGATGTCGCTGGATTAGTCAATAACTCAGTTAAATAGACAGGGCTGGTGTAATGGTCTCTGCGGTTAACACAGCAGCCCAAAATGGCTGCCTACCTTCACTATCAATCCGAAACCCGAACTCATCGTACTGCACCTCAGGTTCATCGGGGGACTCCTTCTGTAACAGATGCAGACACACGTTACGGGTTATACCCACATGGCGTGGGAGACAGGCCTGCAATCTGCTTAAGACCAGGAGAGATATCACACCAGCCAACAAACATCCTCGACAGAAGCAGATGTGGAGAGTCTTTGGAAGACGGAGGAACACCGTGAAGCAAAAGCAAAAGAACACAGCAACAAACATGAAGAACAGCGCCCCCCAATGGCACAACCGCCTAACAGCGAGGACGCATCCTCCAGGCTGACGTTCTACCTGGCAGCATCTGGCCAGCATGTCCTGAGGCCACATACTGGGGGTCAGAGCTGAGAAGGGTCCACCTGGAACCGGAGTGTAACTTCCTGGAACACAAACAAGGTTCCATGAGTCTAGAGTGGCAGCCGCCAGCCGTGAAAAGAAGCGAGACACAGTGAGAGCTCCTACCTGACATGGCGAGAGTGATCAGCGAGGCCGAGACCCGGCTTTATGCAGAAGTCCAAAGATGAAAGGTCAGCAGGTGATTAAGGCTTCTGGGGTGGGGGAGGAGGGGAGAGAAACACTGAGTGGACCGATCGTCCTAGCACATCCCAAAGCTCATCTCTGCCTAGCCGTCTGATTGGGCCCCTCAGCATTCCCCGCGGCGCTGACCACTCAGGCAGGCACGTGCACCGCCGGACACCGGTACCAGGGAGATTCTGCATATCACCAGCGACTGTGGAGCCATCAGCGGCCTTTCAGACCAAAGATATCTTCAAACAAAGATAGTGTGGACAATTCACTCCCAGTACAGGAGTGCCACTTCCAAGCAGGCCAAGGTACAAAGAAAAGCATGCATACGGGCCCAAAAACCATTGTCATGTCACTCAACTGAGCTAATCACTCACAGATTTAACTACTTCAATCAGATTTAGCATAGAAAAAGCTGCCAGGTCTCAGCAGGCTAAAGGGGGAATATTCATTGTAGCATTAGAGTAACTAAAAGTTTGGATACTCGATTTTTTGTTGTTGAAGGTTAAACCTTGCATTAACTCTGCTTAATCTCCTATTGAGCAAGATGATCAATGAGGAGAAGGTAGATATGAAGGTAGTTACTCTCACAGCTGCTCAACTAGCAAGAAAAGCACAACAGAAACTTTGAGATTAAGTGTGCGTGTCTCAACACAGGTTTGCCTGACATCAGCTAATAACATTTCCAGGAAAAACTAATTGGGGGGTTGGGGGGGAGGGTTAAATGGGTCAGTCAACCAATAAGCATCTTCTTGCCCAAATGGACCTCTCCGAATAGCCATCAGCAAGCATATATTCTATATTTCTATGCTAAAATCTCAAATCAGTCAGTTGGTTCAGGAATAATTAAAGATGATCAGCAATATCATTATCACCCTCAAACAGGTCTGACCAGCAATCAGTAACAATGCAGCTGCCTTTGACACCAAAAACCATTAAATTCCTGTTTCAAATTCCCAGAAGGAAACTGGCTCGCTCAAGACCAGTATCGACGCAGACACTGGCCTCTGAGACAGACGTGTTTTGACGGGGAAGCCGGGAGCGATGCCCTAAGGCTGCCAACTCTCACCTTTTGTACTGTGACCCTGGACCCATGAGAGACAAAACACAGAAGCCCAACTGACCAGTCAATGTCCCTGTGCATCAAACTCTCCACACACTCGCTGACGGCTAACTTTCCGCACTAACTTCCCGCTCGTGAATGAACCTAACACTCCCCTGAGGCTTATTGCCACCTGGTTGAACAATACCCTCCGTGGTTCTCTAAATGTTACAGGGACTTTAACGGCTGAGAGCAGGTCATATCTGTGAAGTGTTTATCACATGCTGTGGGACTAGACCCACTTCTAGCACTTGTACCAACCTCCTAGTCCCCATGGTAACACCATCATACAACACGAGAGGGAAAAAAAAAAGTAATATTCCGCTTATTCATTTTTGGCATTTCAAGAATCCTGCTCGCTGGGGAGACTTCACAGCCAAACCAGACAGTCATTGGGTACGAGCCGGGCACCGATCTGCTCTGGGGCACTAATACAAGAAAGGGCGCTTACTGCCGCAAAAGGTCCTGCTCAAAATGAATCCAAGGAGGAAGCAGCCACTTCCACTAAATCCGCATATCTGTGAGAGCAGCTCAGGCCAGAAACCTCAGGCAGGACAACAGGTGGTTAGTGGGAGAGGCTGGATCTGCACAGTTCGCCGTGTCACGTCTAGCTGATTAGTGTTTACTTTCTGGGCTGCACCAATTCTGATAACAGGCCGAGTTAAGCCCGCAGGCCAGCCCTGACTGGATGTGTGTGGAAAGAAAACAATGGTCCTTCCTTTTTCCGAGAATCCCTGCCCCATGATGGTCGTAGGGTGACTGACAACTGAGGGAAGCATCCAAAAAGACTCTACAGTGGGAGGCTGCAGACAATCAGCACAGAACACACTTCATGCAATATAACCTTTACCCATACTATCTTATGTAGCGCGTTGAGTATAACGTAACCTTTACCTATACTGAACACACCACACACACAATAGTAGGTTGTGCGAGACAGAAATCTTGACTTCAGGGTCCTCGAAACCTGAACTGAATTCTAGAAAAACAGGCAGAAAAAAAAAAACAGGGATCAAGCAGGACTATAGAGTAGAGAGAGTGAGAAGAAAAAGTCAGCAATCCAGGTGGTGATGAAACTGCAAGCTGCTATAAATAGCTGCCTGCAAGGAGTGCTCATTACGCGTCAAAACGGAGAAAGCCTGCAGGACGTTCATAGGAGCCATTTCCTCGGAATGGCAGCCGGAGGGCCCTGTTGATTCGGAGTGAGTAGAGCCCCTCCCTCCATCTTCCCCAGCACGACTCTTATCCTACACTTTTATTCCCCAAATATCAGCCTGGAGCGCGTACAATCAGCATCTGAAAGGCAATCAAGTGGACTTCCTCTACAAAGGGGATCACAAAGAGGACTGAAACCACATCACTGTTAAGAATTCTTATCTCAACATAAACTATTGTTTGAGAATTCAATACCAATCATCTTGCTAGTGCATTTGAGATTTTTGGTTTTATTTTTTTCTTCTCCAAACATCTCACCAGTTTTTGACATGCAAGGTAATTACTGATGATGCCCTTTCCTGGAAAAAAGGGGGTTCACATTAAAATGGTGGCCTTTGGCAATGTGCCTGGACAATGAATTAAAGGAGGATAAAAAAAAAACAAATGCTAAAAACCCCACAGAATGCCACAATGATCTAAGGCTGGGATAATGAACCACAATACAGGCTTATGTGAAATCGGTAAAAAATAAAATCGGTCGGGAAACAAACACACAATTATCCACTTTTCCCATTACATATACATTTGTATACATTTAGGTATGATTTGTTAAAGAACATTTAGAAAGTTACTTCTAAAAAAAATAATCATGACTGAAGGTTCCACATAATAGCCATTCATTGACAGGATTAAGCAGATGCCAACGCAAACTCACGACAAGGTTGGTATTGAGAACAATAGCTCAATAACACCCACTCAATTACTCTCTATGGGTCTGAGGATGACATTTAGCTTCTCTTATGTTTTCTAATCCATTTTTTAAAACAAAAATACATTATTCAGACTAATTCCTGAATCTACACACTGCAGATGTAAAACAAATATTGTGGCTTTGTGGCCACCAACACAATCTAAGCCACTTGTTAAATTCTTTAGGAGCCCTGTTAATGGAGAGTTGGTCACATGATCAATATCCTCACAAGCTCCGGGCACTCCCACAGCGCCCTACAACTGACTAATTCCAAGAAGGATGGCCTCTCCCTTTGCATGGGCTAAAGTAGATAAACATCGCAAATTGATTTCAAAGAGAAATTGTCCTGCAAAGTGGATGAAAAGGCCAGTTCCAGGTCCACAGCAGACACACATGTGCTGAGACCTTGTTAGCAGGATACAGTGTGAGCAAGGAAACAGATTTCCCAGAATGCCATGTTCATGCAATGTTCATGTATGAGAAGTTTTTCAGACAGGGTACACAGCAGCAGACTCAGGTGGCAAACACTCAAGGTCACCCTGGTTATGTGACTACAAGTGTCACCATAAGACTACTGACCTAAATATATTAAAACATGATTATAGCTAATGTGTATGGAGGGCGAGTGTGCTACTGATGCATGTGTAACCATCAGCTGCAGATTGAAAGAGGACAGATACACATCAAATGAAGATGAATTCAGCAGAATTAAGTTGATGACTCATCACAGCAATAAAATGAGTAAAGAAACTGCAGCACTAATATTCATAAAAGGCCAATATGACACCTGGTCACGACATGTAGGTGCAGGACTGCTGAGTTATTAATGGGCATAAATGACTGCTGGTAGAAAAACAACACTAATATTCATATTTATATTCATAAGCAGGTGGATGTGACGCCTGGCTTCGTCACCGCGGAGACACCTGGACCAGCTGAGTCTTACTAACGGGCATAAACGCTGGTAGGTGGGAAAACACCACCATTAATATTGATATTCTTAAGTAGGTGGATGGATTTTATAATAAATGGGGATACACGATGATAGGTGGGAAAAAAACAAGACTAATACTAACATTAATATTAATATTTACATCAGGCGGATGTGACGCCCAGCTTCGTCGCGGAGTAGCCGGACACGGATCTGTATATTCATGGCATTTCGGCGTCAAACCGCCGCTCTTGGGAGCAGTAAAGCCCGCAGATAGTGACATGAGGACCATTGCCGTGAATTTCATACACTCATGTATGTGTTATATACTGCATATGGTCAGGAGTAGGTACACACAACAGCACTTATTTCCGGATATAAACACAGCGAAAGCGTGTATTGTCAGCCACTCTAATGGAGAGTGTGGCCCTATAAACGAGAAAACGGGCGAAGCAAACGTTTGCAACCAGTTTTAATAATTATTTAAATCGGGCACATCGGCTGGCATATGCCACGTTAGCTATGACGACACGAAACTAGGTAGATTAGATACCGTAAAACACATACGTCATAACGACTGCCGCACAGAACTAATATCTTAAAACGTTTTATCATTTTATATTAGAAAACGTGCAATATAACTGATCACATCTGCTGGGCTTCTTCGCCGGCAGCTCAACGGAAATTTGAAGAGACAGCCGGCGTTAGGTCACTCGGCAATGAGCGAAACCAATCTAAACAGCTATCGTTGAGTAAGATTACCTGGCAAGGCAGCTAGTAAGCCAGCTAGGGAGGTAAGTTAGTGTTCGTTAACCGTGCAGGTGGCTAGCCGCCGTTAGAATCCGGACCCACAGAACGGCCGCTTTCCTTGATTTTCTTAGGCTCTCTTTCGGTACCTCACGGTCGTCCCGTCTCTCCACACACGCTGTCCTCCATCCTTGAAGGCACGCAGTTCAGTTTGGAGGCAGGAAAGCGGCCTTAATTTTCAGATAGACTCCAGAATAGGACGCACATTAACGGCATCCTCTGCGACGTGTTTGCTTTGCGTCATACACCTGGTCACGACCCTGTCGTATCCCTGCGCTGCGCTGCGCCCGCCGTTTTCTCAATGGGAAGCCGAAGTAGTCCCGGCTCCCGGAACAGCGATCCCACTCCACGACAGGCAGCTGCTGTATTCTGTCGCAGATAGATAACAGCCACCGACAGCGGCTACAGTCGTGACGTCGTCTTTTATTACCATTTTAAAATTATTTTTTTTAATTAATCACGATTTTATTTATCCTTATGTGGTGGTATTTAAACGTGCACAAATAAATCCATATTAAATGAGTTTAGGGACGTGCAGGTAAAAGATTGTCATTAATTAGTTTTTATGTAAATATAAGAAAGGAAAGCATTCTGATAACTTGCTTCCAAGCACATTTTGTAACGTTAGATATGTGTTATCGAAATATAGAAAACACTAGAATAATGTGTGTTGACGGGATCGTGTATCAAATAATTCAGTGACCAGTAGAGAATCCATAAATGCCTTTGACTAATCACAATATTTTTCTATTGCCTACATTCTTTGCATAATTTAAAAAGTGATTTTTTTTAAGTGTAGCCTATTCACGGTGTTACACGATGCACCTGGAACATAGCATCACATTTTAAGTTTTTCGTGAATTATTACATTAACGACGGGTTGTTTATTTACTCTGCTGGGGCAACGTGTGACTTGCTTGTTTAAGAAGACGAACATGTTAAAGCGTAAGTTTTCATTCTGCCACCACTGGTCAAATTTTAGTACTGTAGTCATCGTAAAATCAGTTAAATATACCATTCATTTTGATGCGTAATTAATGCAGCGTGTAGAACAGACGTTTTATCGTGCCCTGTCATCTTGTGGTCAAATGTGAATATTGCAGTTATCGGAATAAAATACTTATTTATGTACTTGGACATCATTTTAACGTTTTAGAACTGAATATGGATGCTTATTTATGACCGTGGAGAAATGGAGCAGTTTTGAAATATTCCTATCTGCCCTCCATGATATGTGAAATATGTACAAACGCTAGGCCTATGTGAGCAGGCGAGCGTCTGGCGATCCTGGAGAATTTGGTTCTAAGTGCTCAAGGGCCCAAGAGCAGGGACGGATTACGGACCGGGCCAGTGGGGCCGCTGCCCAGGGGCCCTTGGGGTGCAGGGGGCCCATGGGGCCCCTAGCCCAAAACAATTTGCAACGCTTATCAACAATGTATTTTCGTTTGTCTATTTTAGAGGGCCTACATTCTTTGATCCTCTGCCTACAAGGGCCCCTGACCCTATAGGGCCTCTGATGGAAACATAGATTGAGGGTGTAGGATCACACATGCACATATCCCAGGGCCTAAATTCCAGGTG